CTCATCATCATCCTCATCCTCCTGCTCCTCCTCCTCGTTATCATCGTCGTCATCATCATCATCATCGTCATCGTCATCATCATCGTCGTGGTCATCGTCATCATCCTCGTCATCGTCATCCTCGACGTCCTTCTCCTCCTCCTCCTCCTCCTCCTCCTCCTCATCCATTCCATCCTCATCCTCCTCATGGCCATCATTTTCAACATCATCGTCGTCCTCGTCCTCGTCGTCATCATCATCATGCTCATCATCGTCGTCATGCTCATCATCGTCGTCATGCTCATCATGCTCATCATCGTCTTCATCATCATGCTCATCATCATCGTCGTCGTCGTCGTTCTCATCGTCATGCTCATCATCGTCATCGACATGGTTGTCGTCATCCTCGTCCTCCTTTCCCTCATGTTCACCATCTTGGTTGTCTATCACATGCCCTTCTTCCTCTGACTCGCTCTGCTTTCGCGTCAAGTGCGATTTTTTGAATGCATCACCTCTTTCGGCCGACAGGGCCAAGAGAACAAGCATCCCAACGATAGCAATGAGGAAACGCATGATTTTCGATTTGAGGCAAATTAGTTGCCAGCTACTGTGTTCTCAGCCTCATATATATTTTTCAACATCCCACCACGAAGAACGGAATCCAATCGTCATGCAGAGGACAGAAACACACTGACACGCGGCGATCGTCAATTCGGTAATCATTCAGTGGATGGCTCATGCCGTACTCTATGTGGGCCAATGCATGAGTGAAGGAGATGCGATAGGGAGACGCTTTTCTAGAACGATGGAGTGAACTGAAGCACAAGGAGAACTCTCTGTCAATAACATCAGATCACATAGCAACAGAACTCAATTAAAATATACGGAGAGTTAAAATCTTATAAAATACGAGTGGCACTTAATTATCTTGATACACTAAGAAGCATTGTTGAGACTTGAAAATGAGATTCGCAAAACGCAGCAATTTAAGCACGCGTCAGTGAAGTGCCACCCAGTGTGATCAGCATGTCGGCGAAATAGTCAGCTCGTCGGGTAGTGTGGGAAACAAATAGATGATCCGCTGTCCCTTTCTGCGCAAGTCTCTTTAGACGGTGACTGTTGGAAAAACACGTAGATCTATTGGGAAGCGTTTTTTGGAGAGCTGACTGAGGGTCAAATCATGGTGCCACCTTTGAGAATCGGGATTTTCCCAAATATATTCTCTCAAACTACTCTATCCATATCATCCACTAATTATAATTGCTAAGTATTTCTCATGACTGCTGAGATTTTCGCTATTACTGATACCCAAATCATAAATATTCAATCATTTTTAGTCTACTGATGCACTTCGTCATAGTTCAGTATTTTCTTTTCGATTTCAAAAAATTCCTAGACAAAACTTCACATTTGTCAAAGTTCCCACTTTGCTTAACATGTTTAAGCTTTTGAATTGCTCTAAGCAGCCGTGTAGATATGGCGCATTTACTAACACGACCGCATTTGCGACTAAAACGATCTGCCTGACCTGATTGTTTCAAGATATTGCATCTAGATCTTCTCAGCCATCATACCAATTGTAATGCTTAAAGCCCATTTTATACCCCGCACGATGACTATACGAAATGCAGTAGTTGAAGCAAGGATTCTAACTTGAAGACGTGCTTGACTATAGTGGTTCCTTTTCAGAACAATGAAACGAAATCGGATTAAAGCGGCTTTTGGCCAGATCGCAGTTGGTAGCCCGGAAAGGGGAAGCGGACGGCGACCTTAACCCTAACCCTAACCTCAACCGTTACCGTTAAACGTTAACCCTAACGACAGCCCTATCCCTAGCCGAAATCGTAAACCTAACCGTAGCCCTTAGACATAGCTGTAACTGAGAAGCCTAACCGTAATACTGGAACCTAGTCGTACGCTCAAACCTAACCATAACCCGAAACCCGAAGCCTAAAGGCATAACCCTAACCGTAAAATCGTAAACACTTAACCGGTACC